ACCCCCCCCCTTTTTTCTCTCCCCCCCCCCCCCCCCCCCCCCCATGCAAATGGCTGATGAATTTAGCAACAATTAGGCTAGAGCTGCAGCTTTTGACCAAGCTTCCAGCCCAGATGCACACAAGGAAACTGAATTTATGTTTGTATTGCTAATGATAATGTTTCCTTATTATTCAGATTCTCCACACTTTGACACTAACTTAATCATGAAATGGTAACTTTCGTAAATTTCTTTGTTAATATTTGCACATAGTTTAGCTCATTACATCAAAGGGCAGCTGGCTCATTATTTAATGAGAAAAAAAGGGACAAAGTGAAAGACTGTGTGTTTAAGCATGAGACATATAAGATTTACTATTCCAGGTTTGAGCGGAACTTCTGAGGAGCCCCTCAAAAATAAAACATTAAGAGATCCATAAAATCTGTTTCATTGTTGCAACAGCCTAACATGTTTACATCTGGATGACATCATGGGTTCAGGTCTGTTATTTCTGCCTTGGTCTCCTTCCAAAGAGCCGTTCATCTTCCCAAATATTGACTGTCTCGGGTCATAGCAATATCACACATGAATTGTTAAACTAAAGGATGTCCTCCTTTACATGAAAGCATTTGGGCTGCCACATCTGTAAATCATTGACATTTTACATAAGTTGTGCATTAGAGGTTGTGAGGATGAAGGTTTAAATGTGTAAGAAAGAAAATTATAACTACATTGCCGCATCACAATGGATCAGTTTCAAGTGTCGCTGCTTTATTAAGTCTTTGTCTTTGGTTGTCATCAAACGGGCGAAAGAATGTGATAGTTATTGCAGCAGCTGCTTTTGGATTCTTCTGCTACCACACACGCACAAGCTCCTGCAAAATGAGTTATAATCATTAAAGTCAATAACGTGACTGTGGCTGGATAAGACATCTCCCAGTGGAGCCTAAAGCTTGTTGATCTGCGGTTATTGATATTGATTTGTGTCATTTTGTATCATAAGTGTTTTTCAATGCTCAAGCAGGAGCAGGAGTTTCTTTTCATTATTCATGTATCCTGATCCATTGGTAACAAATACCATATGAAACACAGCCCCCCCCCCACCCCGTGCTCCGAACTGCGGAATACAATACAAATACTGTTGATAGGATTATTTCAGTACAGGAGCTGCAGGCTCCACTGCATCCAGGAAATTTCCAATGCTTCTCATTAGAAATTAGTATCGTAAAATGATGAATGCTATCTTGTGAATGTCAAACCTCTCAGGCACTCAGTTTATCATCCAATGTGTCAACCCCACCTGCCAGGCACTTAGGTGGAATCACACCAAGAAAAACAGTTACTTTCAAGCACTATTTAATTGAGACCGGAATCATTACAGATACAGACATTCTTTCATGATGTTGATTTCTATCATTATACGTGATTGCAACATAAATTATTGGATTCAAATTTTGTTAATTGACATCATTAAAGAATGGTGAAATACGGACAGAACTCCAGGGACTTTACAAATCTGTTGTAGAGCTGCTTTGTTTCTACGTGGCATTTTTGGTCAGTCGACTGTCCCTGTCGAGGTGGATATTTTATAAATAGCCCCTCTGAACTGTATTCTATTTCATATATTACTATTTCTACTTTGTAATATATCTGGCCTTGTACAACCTAAACAATGGCAGTGGGAACTTTGGAGGTAGACAACAGCCTTCTCAAAATGTCTGTCACTGCTGACGCCCCGCAGAGTTCAGGGCTAACCAACGCCATCATTTATGTGTCTTCACATGACTGAAACATCCAAAATGAAAGAGGAGAATTGCACCTGCTTGTAGAGATTACAGATTTTCTAACTGTTCTGTGAACAAAAACAGAGTCCCACATCTGCTTCATGACTTCATACTTTGCAACTAAGAAAACACAAGACGGATCCTGTGTGTGGAAAACACATTTCATAATTCATGAACTGTTGTCTTCTCCGTTATGTGTCACTGATTTCACCGAATACTCAAATGACTCTCTCTCTGTTAATTGTTTGCATGCGTTGTTGCAATCATCCGTGTCCTTTTCCAAATTAATAACATCGGAATGGCAAGGCATCTGACAAATAATGAATGCGATCCCTTTGAATGAGGCCGTGCAGTACCTTTGTCAGATACATCAATGGAAAGCAGACTATTGTTGAATGTCATTAAACCCGACTTTGACCCTTTGCTCTGTGGGTTAGTGCTTAAATCCCAGTACAGACTGCAACTGCTGATTGAGTGCTGCTATTTTTGTACTTCATTTAGTGGACGCGATTGAGCCGTAACACGGTTGTCATGAATTTATTAGAGCTCATTTTCCGGCTGTGTAAAGTTACACAGGTCTGAGGTTGACTAATATCCACATGCTGGAGCTGTCGCTGTTCAGGGTTTGACTATTTGATGTACACACTGTGCAGGGGGTTGAGCGCCCTCGTGCACACAGGTTTATCCAAACCTCGGCTTCTTTATCTTCCCCACTGTACCGTTGACTCTTCTTCTTCTCTTTCTTTCTGCTGAGGCATTGTCTTTATGCACTCTGTGTCTGTAATTCAGTTTCGTTTAGGGCGACAGCACACATAGTTTAAATTGGCTACAAGCCCGGTGGATAGATAAAAAAAACATAAAATAGACTTTCTGATTATGTAATTGTTTCACATATTTGATGTTAAACTTTAAAGAATAATTAAAATTAATTAAAACTTAAACATCAAAATGTGGTTTTCTGAGTGACACCTGATTTCTACTGAACACATTCGTGAATGTTAATTTGTACAATTCATGTGTCATTGCCTGCTGTACTCATTTCTTCGTATGTGCTCTGCTTCTTGATTGTCAAACGCACACACTAGATGGCACCAACCAAAAACCCACAGCCCGCTGGTTGATATGCGTGTCACTTTCTGGCCAAGATATTTTTTGGAACATAGTAATGTAGGACTGCACCAGGTTGCGAGAGGCAGAAGCCTGAAATATTCACACACCCCAACTGGCTGATGCAAGTATGTATTTTACCTGGAGCACAGAGGAGGGATGTTGCCTGCGTGATGTGGCTGCACAATCCAGCTGTGCAGCTCATTAAACGAGGCCTCGTCCGTGTACTGGACACACTGGGCGACAGTTGATTCAGAACATAAAACAAAGTACACACTAGTGGAGTTGTCACCTTTGGATGCTTGGACCTCATGCTGTCAGAACACCTAGATTATACTGAACAGGCTTACTTAATTCATTTTATCATATTTTGTTTCTGCAGCTCTCATTCATTGCAACCTACTCTGCTATAACTAAAATACCTGTGTGTTAGGTTTTTTAAGAAGTATTCCTATTTGATAGAACTGTCCCCATCTCTGCTGTACGCCATCATAATGAGTCACAGTCAGCGAGTACTGAAACAGGGATTGGACCCAAATTCAGCCAGTTGAGAAGGCAGCAGGATGAATTCAGTGATGTATTGTTACACAGTCCAAATGAAGCTGTGGGTCCAGCCAACAGAACACAGCATTGTGTTCGCAATGATGAACTGACAGAGGAACAAAGGATCTGGGATGGCAATTGTGGAGCTATATTTAATCAGACGTAGGTGGGTGATTGGGTGATGCAGGTGAGGAGGTGGGTGGCGAAGGCCAGGTAGGGCAGATTAGGGAAGTAGGAAAAGGTGTGTAGATGGGTGTGGCAGTGACGGGACCTTGGCAATAGTCTCTAAGTGGGAATGTGGCTGAAAAGGGCACAAGGGCAGAATGTGACAGAAAAGTCTTATCTTGAGTCTTATCTTCCTCACTGCCTGTTGTGCCCCTTTTCAACTCCCCAGTAATGTTAGTGTAAGAAGAGATTTATTTTTGTGCATATATACACCTGTATATATGTACATATATGTATATACTGGGATAGCCTATCTGATGCAACAAAATCAGACTGAACCGCAGTTAAGGACAAACTGAAAGCTGATTTTGGACAGAGTGCTTATCCATCTACAATTTCAAGTTATGCCAACGCACACATTCGCCTGCCTGGCGAGGCCCTCCCTGTTGTTTGCTGCTGATATTTGCAGACTGTCGAAGAAAGCTTTTTCAACATATGGACAAAATTCTAAAGATGGAGACAGATGCTTCATTGCTGGAATTGAGCCATAATTGCATAATTGTGTTTCTCTCAGGCGTTTCTCTCCTGCTGTCCCTCCCTTGGCACCCTCCCACCCAAATTCCTGCATCTTCCACGTCTCCCTGTGTCCACAATGCCACCGGAGTAGACATTTCAGTTATTAGTGTCACGGGGAGTGGTGGTGGACCCAAACGCAGACATGACCAGGGATGCAGAGTGAAAACAAAAGGGTTTTATTTCGAGGTGAACACAAAGGGAAACTTGACAGGGAACAGGGAAATCCAAGGACGTGAGGGTGAGAACCGGGCAGGACAAGGCAGACAGACTGAGGAACCGGGAGGGTGATCCACACGAGGAGGTTGAAACAACACTTTATTCCAGGCAGAAGACACCACAGGCAAACAGTCTTGGATCTCCACACGTGTAGAAATCCACTCAGTGGAACGCCAAGCCGTCCGGGGAGAAGGCAGACAGAAACCAGAGGCAGAATCTCGTTGTTGGGGACAGAAGGCTGAGCCGTTTACGGGGGCCGAGGCAAGGCAGAGAAGTCCAAACCTGCAGGGTTACCAGTCGGCGGGTAACCGCTGAGTCTGGCATACTGCAGAGAATAATCTGGCCGTGAGTGTGTGTGTGAGAC